ACATCAACAATAAAAAATATAAATATTTTATTGATTTTGTCTACTTTTTATTAACCCTAACAATTATATTGTATAGGGTAACCAGTTTGAGCTGTACATAGTGTTTCTTGTCAGTGCTATAAACAGTTGCAGTTCAAATTCCAACTATCGTCCTTCCAAAGGAACTGACTTTTGGAGCTATGGAAATCATTATTCCTTGATACGGAAGGAGACTGGTTTTGAGTTATAACCCTTTTGCACTGGGTCATTGATTTGTGTAAACATTTAGAAATTTGCTTTTCATACTTTTGTTTTTGCGCATTGGACAATAAGGTAGGTGCTTGATGCAAAATTGTGAAGCTATTATGTGCTCAATCGGGGATGGTGGCCAGTCCAACAAGTCTCTCTTTCAGCATGAAAGAACAAAGGTATGTCTTTAGCTATTTTAAAGTTGAAAGGCTGTGTTCCTCACTAGCAACTGAAACTGCAAGAGTCAAGGGAATTCCAAGAGCAATGAAGATGTTAGGAAAGCTATCTGTGTTCAGAAATAAATATCATGACATCTTGCGGTATAAGATGTCTTGGAAGTTGTTGTGAAATAGCCTTCAGTTCACTGCATAAATCTATTTCATCAATAGCTTTTGAATGTCCATGTTGTAATGCCAGCTCTAGGTTCAATCAATGTTCTAATACCTATTTTGAAGTCTTAGTTTGCAAACTATGCACATCATTGAGGAAAATTGAATAAACCTTCTGTATTTTCTCAAATCATTCTTTAACTGACAGGACTGCAGTATCTAGGACTGAAAAGTAGAAGTTTACTTTGAATTTTTGTTTTGGATCCTGAACTGATTTGTCTTTTGCCTTATATGTGAACTGTTGCTTCTTTCTCCAAATACGTGCTGGTTTTGGTTCAAAATCAGTTGGTAGATCAAATTCCTCAGCAACCTCACTTTTTCAAATGCTTCATCACTCCTGCATTCTGCCTCAAAGTTTTTTGTCTGATGCAGCTGTTATATAGCAGAATGTATGTTAAAGTCCTTTGCCTGAAGTGTCATATTGGTACGCTGCATCTAGACTGGCAAGTTTTTCCGCAAAAGCGGCCGCTTTTGTGGAAAAACTTGCCAGCTGTCTACACTGGCCACTTGAATTTGCGCAAGAACACTGACGATCTAATGTAAGATTGTCAGTGTTCTTGCGCAAATACTATGCTGCTTCCGCTCGGGAAAAAGCCCTTTTGCACAAATGCTTTTGCGCAAGAGGGCCAGTGTAGACAGGTAAAAACCGTTTTGTGCAAGAAGCCCTGATGGCAAAAATGGCGATTGGGGCTTTCTTGCGCAAAACCGCGTCTAGATTGGCACGGACACTTTTCCGTTAAAAGCATTTGCGAAAAATCATGCCAGTCTAGACGTAGCCGTAATGTTCATCTCAAACAAGATACCACAAAAATGAGTGAAACTACAAATTGTAACTTGCAAAGACCATTTGCAAGAGCTTCTGTTTCTGGATGCACCATATTGCCAGATGATCCCATTAGGGTAGTACAGTATCATCCGAAATTTCAATGAGTGCATTATAGATATTTCCAAGAGGTTTCAAGGCATCAGTTTGAGACTCCCATCTTGTTTTACAATCTTGTTACTCTTACCAATTTTTTCAGGACCAACACAATACAAATTCTTCATGGCACAGTGTCTTCAGGATCACAGCTCTTAACATGGCAAAACAATTGTTGCAGGTGGCTGATCAGCTTGTAATTCACTTGGGCTACATCTACAGTGCTGAGTTTTTGCGCAAAAACTCATGGAGCATCCACACTACAAGCGTGTTTTTGAGCAAGAAAAAGGACAGTAGTTTGTCAGAAAACAGAGCTTTTTTTGTGCAAGAGTTATTCCTCTTTCTACAAGGAATAAGCCTTTTTGCACCAGAGTTCTTGTGCAAAAAGGCATGTGTGGACAGACAACAGGGATTTCTTGCGCAAGAAACCCCTATTGGAAAAAGCAAGATCTCTTCTGCAAAAAGTTCTTGTGCATGTAGCCTGAGTCACATCCAAAGGCACTGACTCAACTGTGTGACTGGCCAAAATTGGGCTACTGAGAATGAACTGCCAAACTCCACACCCCCAGGGAGCAAACCCGGATGGTGTTCTTGTGAAGCTATGCCATGACACATTTTAACTGTATTTACATGCATAGCCATACTCCACAATGTAAAATAAATAACTTCTGACATGACAATAATGCACTGTTTGTCATGTACAATATTTGATACTTTTGTTTATAAGAGATAACACATTGATGTATATTTTATATAGAAAAAAATCACTTCTAATTTGCCCCGCCCCCCCCTTAAAGCCTGGTACAGTAGGCGACCACCTAGTTCAAGTATAAGCCCTATATTATCAGGCTGGCCTTGTAACTGGTACTTTTGATTTTTTTAGCATTATAATAGACTCTGCATCTGAACTTTGGTTTAATGCAAAGAGCAAAGCTGACCTATTTGTGCACTAAGTGATGTTGATTTAAATCTTTAACTAGGAATGGAAATGAAGGTTACTTATTGTTAACTGAGGTTATTCAGGATGGGACTCTGCATATTCACGCTCTGGGGCTATGCACTGACTATGCAACGCTCTACTGGTACTGCCTATTGAAGTATTCACATGCGCTTCCCCACCCCTCGCTTCAACATTTGAGTATGAAAGGGGGAGTCAATAAAAAGCCGCATAGTACTAGTTGCTGCTCTATTTCTTTCCAGCACTAATGCAGAGACATGAATAGTTAGGGCTCTGCAGAAAAGGGGAAGGATCAGCCAGGAGTGTGAATATGCAGAGTCTATCTCCAATTATAAGTAGATAACCTTTGTTTCTTTATCTTGCATCCTGGACACTTAATCATCAATATGTACTGGAAAAAAAAAGATGGTGGTTGGGAACTGCTGTTTTGAACATCCAAAGGCACATTCCATCACTGTGCTGCACTTGCTCAGGCGACTGTTGAACCACTCCTTACTGCTGTCTAAGTAGCCACTGTACAGCTGCATGAGCCATGAGAGCAAGTAGGATGCATCTCCTATGTTCACTATAGGCATTTCAACATCATCAATGGTTATTTTGTGATCTGGAAAGAAAGTCCATGATTACAGTTCTCTCAACAGACCTATGTTCCTAAAGATGGATGTGCCACGCACCTTTCCTGACCATCCTATGTCGATGTTGGTGAAATGCCCCATGATCTGTTAGCACTTGCTAGATCATCAAGAAGTGCCCCTCACCATTTATGTACTTTTTCGCAAGGTGGGCCTGTGCCAAGATAGGGATATGAATGCTATCACCCCAGTGCAGTTGGGGAATCCCAATGAGCCAAAACCATCTACTATGTCCTGCGTGTTGCCCAGAATCAATACACTTAGCAGAAATTAATAGCCCTGCACGCTTGGCTCTCAGTCACATCTGCTCCCACACTGATGTCCCCTACTCCAGATTAATTCCTCATAATCCAGCATTGCATGGTGCCACAGCGCAATTGCCACTTTATTCTCCACAAGCAGGGTAGGTCTTATTTTCGTATTGTTGCACTTTGGGGTTGGGGGAAGCTCTGCACTAAGTTCCTGGAAAGTGGCCTTCTCTATGCACAAGTTCTGAAGCCATTGTTTGTCACCCCATAGTTACAGAATGATGTACTCCCACAAGTCAGTGCTGTTTTCCAGGACCCAAAATGGCACTCTGCTGTGCTCAGCTGCCACACAGCTTCCAACACTAAACAGGATTTTTAATGGCTTGCTGCAGGGTTGCTTGAAAGACATTTTATAATCCAGCTCCTGGTTTGGCTCTAGAAATACAGCAGGATAAGATGAGCGGGGTTTGTATTGTTTACAGCAAAACTGAACAGTTGGCCGGGGGTTCCATATTTCCTGGGCCATGGCAGATGCACAGCTAAGACAGGCTTTGAAAAAAAGATGTGGAAAAAGATGTGGAAAAACATGAGTTGGCCTTTGATATCAGGAAAAGGCTGGAGGGCGGAAGCTACCTCATGGGCTTCTTCCCATTACACACTGTGACAATGTTTCTTGAGTTTCCCATTACACACTGTGACAATGTTTCTTTCATACATGCACTGTCGGAAGTTTTAACTATAGAGTGTAGAAATGTGTATTTGTAACATTGATCTGTTGTAATTAACAACAGATCTTACAAAATATTTTTTGAAGGACAGAAGTTTTTTTCATTCCTTCTTTATTCCTCCAAACTGCTGCTGAGCCTGCCTCTTTTATTTGGATAGCATACATGTGCTTGCTCCCCTCCAGCTCTCTCCCCCATTGTTATTCTTTCATCTCTCCCCATAGGGTTGTTACCAATGGGGATCCACTTTTCTGCAAAGAGTTGGAACAGGCCTGACTAGGCTTTTTCCTGAATAAAGATCTAAACCAGGGCTGGGGAACTTTTTTTTTTGTTAGGGTGCACTGAGCCACAGAAAAGTCCATTGGGGGCTGCACGTGCACACACACACACAAACCCCCAAACCCTCACTGACATGGCTCACAACTGAGAGAGGAAGACACTCCCCGTATTCCCTTCATACACCAGAGCCTGCGGGGGTCCCAGCCTAGTAGATTTTGTGTGTTCGAGCTCTGTAGGGATTAGCAAGGGGGCTGGAGTGCTAGCATAGGTTCCCCACTGCAAGGGGGAGCCCTGAACCTTGAGGGTCTGAGGTTCCCCCTAGCTTGTGTAAATTGAAGAGACATCACTTCCAACACACTACAATTAAGAGATACTGGAAAGCAACTATACAGGCACATGTTACAGTTAATTTTAATGCACAGACACTGTAACCAACAGTTTCAATTTTCCTATACTAAAGTCACCCTTGGGTTTAGGGATCTTTCACACTTACCTTTCTAGAGTGTGGCAGATCACCACTCATCCCCTATTTACCAGCCACATTTATAAATACATAGTGAGTAAGTTGGGCCCAACAGTTAACATTGTACAAAGTACAAGAATGCTTTCAAGGGTCTCTGCATTAATTTCCACTTTTAAAAGACATTTATTGTAAAAAATGTAATACACCGGCTATTTTCCATTTTTACAGTAGTAAAAAATATGCCAATTCTACCACTCAAATGGTAAAAAAAGTTCTTTTTCTTGCCATACAACATACAGCAATCTATATTTAATAAACCTCACAGGTAGAGCACTATTGGCAGTAAACTACAAAAGTAGAATCCTCTGAGTGACAAAATATCTAGATATACATATTTACATAATTAGTTAATACTTCTAATCAATACAACTGCAGAGTGATACCACGGATTATAACTGGTCTATGCCTGCATCCTGTTCTCTTGCAAACTTGGTGATTTAAAACTGTATTACAATGGTAGCCATATTACAGTTTCTGTGGGGTTGATGCAGTGGGAGCGTTCAAACAGGATGCTAGGCAATAGGTGGAGGTGATCTCAGAATTGTAGATGAAGTATGTGCAACCCCCGTCACTCATTAAGCAGAACTATTAGCTACAAGAAGAGTCCCACCTAGCCAGAGCCTTTGGAATTGATGCATGAGGGTTGCTTACAAGGCTCTATTTGGATGATGATTGTCTGAAGAAGTTACTTTAAAATAGTTTGAGCTGATTCTGTCTAAAGATCTGTATGTACAGTTCCCCTGGTTTTCCATATTAAAGGAAAGAATTCCTTCCTTCAAGGGGACTGTAATATCTAATTGTTTCAATTTAAAGTAAACAAGACAGCAACTCTCAAACAGATAGGTAAACCTAGCAGGTGGATTCCCAACCGTCACAAGCCTTCCCAGCTCCCAAAACTCAACAATGTGGATTAGCTTGGGGAAAACAAAAACAAAAACAGAGAGCTAAACCAATACTTTATACTGAAGGAAAGAGACTAACTATAAAGCTAGTTGTTTGATACTATTAAGATTCATCATCTTCCTCCTCACTCTCTTCCTCTTTGTCATCATCATCTTCATCTTCTTCATCATCTTCCACTTTTCCATCCCTCTTCTCTCTTTCAAGCATTTTCAGGTATTTGCTAGCAAGGATCTTCTTTGGTAAGATATCTGAAAGGCACAATTCCTTCTTTTGTAATATTTTCAGTTACAACAAAGATTTAGAATAATTTATTACTGTACCATCTAGATCGCTGCAACAAATTGCATCCAATGAACTGTGAGGCTATTTTTTCAGGCTTGGGTATAATCAGGTTTCTTCTAATCTAACTGGTATCATTGGAAAAAGAATGTAGCCACTGTGATATTAGAAGTGTATTGTGATAGAGATATTGTCCCATTAAAGTATTAGTAACCCATATGAGGGAATTTGTTTGATTCTGATACAGATATAGTAATTTCTTAGGTTTTACTCTCTGAAGCTGCTTTGCTTTTCACTTGAGGGGGACCAGTTTACCTTAATTCAGTATGCACCGTTCAAGATTGTACTTCTTACAAGCTATTTCCCTGCACTCAATGTAGGCTGCCTATTCAAGATAAAGATATCATGGCAAGGAGACAGAGTAGTAAAGAAATATTGCTAGAAGGTGACACAAATGGGACTGATGCACTAGTAAAATCTTATGAACTAGAAGGTCTTACTACTCAGAATGAGAAATTTATTTGAAGAGGGTAAGCATTATGCCCAATCAATTAAAATGATTTAAGAGAGCGTGGCATAAACAAATGTGAGAAACGATATTTGAGAATTTAAAATTAACATATATAGTTTTGGGCACATATGAAGTTATTAAAGGGAATCTTGTCTATAGGTTAAAACAGAAGATGGAGTTACATACTTCCTTGGTATTCCTCTCTCAAACTGACTTTAAAGTCACTTTAATCACTCTGTACCTGTGTTTTCTGAGTTGTAAAATTGAGATACTGTTCACTACTCAGGGATACTGTTAAAAGGTGCTAGAAAGACAGCAACTTGAATGTTAAGTATGACTGTTGTAATAATTGGAGGTGCAATGATTCTGTCCCATGGCTTTGTGCATTTTTACATCAATGAAAAAAGCAGCCTATTCATTAATGCAGAATGTCTGTCAATTATTTGGACCATGAACTGTTAACAGTCAAAAAGAGACTTTACAGTAATAGCTTTGCAATGACAACTACTGCTATGCAGGAGCTGTTCCTTATTTTCAGTCGCACATACTGATTTGCCACAATTGCTATACGTACCAGCAAGGAACTGAAACGTTTCAGATTCCTCTGCTGTGTGGGATAGATCACTATAGGTTAGGGATCTCTTCTCTTTCCCGCGGCCATGTTTGTAGGAGTAAGTGGCTAAATACTGGACAAAGAGCTCCTGAAAAAAAAAGAAAAGAAACCTGTCAAATTCTTAATTCCTGTGTACAGCTGGCTGCAAAGTTTCAAACCCTTATTTAAGGCCCAATCCGGGCATTAGTTGCATGCAGCCACTGCCCTGCACTTACAGAGTCCCACTAATTTTGATGTAGCTGTGTAAGCAGACAAAGGTGTACATCTGTGAGTAGCCAATTGCAGAACTGGGGCCTTAGACTAACAACGTGTGTCACTCACTCAAGTCTGTCATCCCTTCTGCAGACACTAATGGGATAGATGATATCAAGAAAATATTTCTGGGTGTAATTAAATAATGCAAAAATGCTTGCTAGTTTCCACTACTTAAGTGATAAAAGACTCCTTCCCTATTAAAAGAAATAATGAAAGAGACCGTCAGGTTACATTTAGTACAAATTAAGTCCATCACTCACCAAGGGGCAACTTCCACTGAATGTCACAGAGCTTTATATCAGGGCATGTCCACACTATAAAACTTAAGTCAAGTCAACTTAAGCCACTGCAGTGATTGCTAGGGTGGTTCACATAATCACTCAGGCTACGTCTACATTGGCAAGATTTTGTGCAAATACTTTTAACACAAGAGTTTTTGCGTTAAAGTATTTGCGCAAGAGTGTCTACACTGGCATGTGCTTTTGCACAAGAGATGTGCTTTTGCGCAAGAGCATCCGTGCCAGTGTAGACGCTCTCTTGAGCAAGAAAGCTCTGATGGCCATTTTAGCCATCAGGCTTTCTTGCACAAGAAATTCATGTTGCCTGTCTACACTGGCCTCTTGCACAAGAACAGTTGCGCAAGAGGGCTTATTCCTGAGCGGGAGCATCATAGTTCTTGCGCAAGAAGCACTGATTTCACACATCAGAACTTGTGCAATGTAGACACAGTCTCACTGTCCTTCTGACAGTGGTGTATATCTCCACCAGGAGCACTTCCATCAACATAAGAGGGACAGGGTAGGAGGCTGAGAGCCAGCGATCTTAGCTCTGCACATAGCTGTAGTTGGGATGCCCTCCCACTTCAGCTCCACCCTGGAAACGGGGCAGCTACACTGGGCTTCTTGGCTCCTTGACAGAAACAGGGCAGCCACCCTAGGCTCGGGGATCAGAGCTCCCTGCCAGGCACAGCTATGCTTCCAGCAGGAAGCCAACTTTCTTGTCAATTTCATGGCTGCACCAGAACCCTGAAGTTGACAAGAATGACAGCCAATACATGCAAGGAACAATGTCTACAGGAATACTTTGTCACCCTAACTACACAGACAAATGTCTTATGCTTCTTATAGAGGAGGATAGAATCATAGAATCATAGAATAATAGGACTGGAAGGGACCTCAAGAGGTCATCGAGTCCAGCCCCCCGCCCTCAAGGCAGGACCAAGCTCCACCTACACCATCCCTGACAGATGTCTATCTAACCTGTTCTTACATATCTCCAGAGAGGGAGATTCCACCACCTCCCTTGGCAATTTATTCCAATATTTGACCACCCTGACAGTTAGGAATTTTTTCCTAATGTCCAATCTAAACCTCCCCTGCTGCACTTTGAGCCCATTACTCCTTGTCCTGTCCTCAGAAACCAAGAGGAACAAATTTTCTCCTTCCTCCTTGTGACACCCTTTTAGATATTTGAAACCCGCTATCATGTCCCCCCTTAATCTTCTTTTTTCCAAACTAAACAAGCCCAGTTCATGAAGCCTGGCTTCATAGGTCATGTTCTCTAAACCTTTAATCATTCTTGTCGCTCTTCTCTGGACCCTTTCCAATTTCTCCACATCTTTCTTGAAATGTGGCGCCCAGAACTGGACACAGTACTCCAGCTGAGGACTAACTAGTACAGAGTAGAGCGGCAGAATGACTTCACGAGTTTTGCTTACAACACACCTGTTGATACAACCTAGAATCATATTTGCTTTTTTTGCAACAGCATCACACTGTTGACTCATATTCAACTTGTGGTCCACTATGACCCCTAGATCCCTTTCCGCCATGCTCCTTCCTAGACAGTCGCTTCCCATCTTGTATGTATGGAACTGATTGTTCCTTCCTAAGTGGAGCACTTTGCATTTCTCTTTATTAAACCTCATCCTGTTTACCTCTGACCATTTCTCTAACTTGCTAAGGTCATTTTGAATTATGTCCCTATCCTCCAAAGAAGTTGCAACCCCACCCAGTTTGGTATCATCTGCAAACTTAATAAGCGTACTCTCTATCCCAATATCTACATCATTGATGAAGATATTGAACAGTACGGGTCCCAAAACAGACCCTTGAGGAACTCCACTTGTTATCCCTTTCCAGCAGGATTTAGAACCGTTAACAACAACTCTCTGACTCTAAATTGGCTTACCTAACATTTTAGTGTAGACCAGGTTTAGCAGAAGCGAAAAGTGTAATGCTGTATTCCATGGCTACACCCAGGAACATATATGATCAACTAGATCATGCACTGGTCTTACTAGAATGTCTCAATTATCTGATGAATTTTGATAACTGAAACCTTGTCAATATTCAGATAATAATATTGTGGTACAGGATCTTGCAGTTCAGTTACTAAAAAGGTAATCCCCTACGTGCAGCTTCTACACGTGCTGCTTTTCCTGGCAGCATGCATAGGAGGTGCACAATGATTTTCAACTAAATGCCTGTGCCTAGTCAGGTTTATTTTGCTGAAAAGGGGATCCAAAAAGCACTTCTAAAATTGCATGTAATTTCCCCCTTTGGAGATGCTTGTGGAAGTCTAGGTCAAGACACAAAATCTGAGGAACTCAGAAAAGGAGCTGGCTGGCATTCTAACACCAGCGCATTTGTGATTCCTCATAAGAACGGCCATACGGGGTCAGACCCAAAGTCCATCTAGCCCAGTATCCTGCGGTCAATAGCAGGTGCCCAAAAAGGAAGGAACAAAACAGATGAGCCACGCCCTGTCACCCATTCCAGCTCCCAACAAACAGAGGATACAGACACCATTCCTATCCATCCTGGCCAATAACCCTTGATGGACCTAACCTCCATGAATGTCCTGAGCTTTTGTTTGAACCCTCACGAACAGGGAGAGCAGACAGGCCTCAGACTTTGATCTACGGATACTCTATGCTTCATGGAAGCAGGAGGGGCAATGATCATAGAACCATAGAGCTGGAAGAGACCTCAGAAGGTCAGCAAGTCCAGCCCCCTGCTCTAGGCAGGACCAATTCCAACTAAATCAACCTGGCCAGGGCTTTGTCAATCCAAGACTTAAACACCGCTAGGGATGGAGACTCCACTACTTCCCTAGGCATTCCAGTGCTTCACTACCCTCCTAGTGAAATAGTTTTTCCTAATATCCAACCTGGCCCTCTCCCACCACAACTTGAGACCATTGCTCCTTGTTCTGCCATCCATCACCACTGAGAACAGCCTTTCTCCATCCTCTTTGGACCCCCCCTTCAGGAAGTTGAAGGCTGCTATTAAACCCCCCCCCAAATCCCTGGCACGATTTTTGCCACGCGCCAGGCTGCAACCCAAGACATCTAGTGAGTCAGGACAACCTCCCCTTCCCTGAGGAAACCCGCGCCGCTCCAGCGCCCCGGCCTCAACCGTCGTTCCAAGCGCCAGGCCGGGAAGCACAGCCCTGCGGGAGTGGTAGTTTTCTGCTCGTGCGCTCTTGCGCGCGGGGGGCAGGCGGAGGACTACACCTCCCAGGATGCACCTCTCCCTCGCTGGCGTCATCCAGCCTGCTCTCCTAGGGGAAGGGCTACAATTGATGCATCAGCCCCGCCCCTTGCTTGGAGGCTCCCTTGAGAGGCTCCGCCCCCTCTCCCTACCTTTAATATCAGCAATTCACAGACACTTACCTTCTTTCCTTCCCCTTTCCCCCCCCCCCCATCCCCCTTCTGTTCTGCAATGTGATTTGTCCTTTTCATATTTGTTCATTTTTTTTAATTGTATCCTTTGGTATATATGGTTGTGACTACTTTCTTCCACTATTTGATCTGAGGAAGTGGGTCTGGCCCACGACAGCTCATCATCTAATAAACCATCTTGTTAGTCTTTAAAGTGCTACATTGTCCTGCATTTTGCTTCAACTACCCCAGACTAACTCGGCTACATTTCTATCGCTCCCTGTAGCAGTTGCTGATAGGCGATGGGCTGTGGGGAACGGCTGTGGTGGAAGACCGCTAGCTGAGGGAGCAAATCCCTGTGGCTAGCCCTTGCTCACTGTTGGGTTCCTGAAACTGCTCTGTGTAGAAATATGAGGGTTTCCATCTTTGAACTTTCAAAAAAGTGTATCAGTATCTGCCAACTCACCTTGTATTCATGTGTTGGCAGGTACAGATACACTCCCTCTCCAGGTGTGCTCTTTTTTGAAAGTTCAAATACGGAATCCCTAGAAATATGCCACCTATAGGAGTTACTGGATTGTAGGAAACTGCTATTGTACAAGTATCGGAGGGGTAGCCGTGTTAGTCTGAATCTGCAAAAGCGGCGAGGAGTGCTATGGCACCTTATATAGACTACTAAACTGAAGTGTTGGAGCATAAGCTTTCGTGGGCAAAGACCCACTTCGTCAGATGCATGTAGCCATGCATGTAGACGTGCATCTGATGAAGTGGGTCTTTGCCCATGAAAGCTTATGCTCCAACACTTCAGTTAGTCTATAAGGTGCCACAGGACTCCTCGTTGCTATTGTACAAAAATCTACCACCTGATGTAGCAAATTCCTACAAATAACTGTCTTCCGCACTCACGGCAGCACCAAGTACCATCTGTTCCAGGGGTCAGCAACCTTTCTGAAGTGGCATGCCAAGATTTAACCCTCCTGCCCTGGGCTGCTTTCCTGCCCCCCACCCCGGGAGGGGCTCTCTCCACCGCACACCCACTTGGTCTCCTGCCCTGGGCTCTGCTCCAGCTTTTCCTGTGGGAAGGGGAGGCGGGGGAGCAGCATGTGTGTACTTTCCCAGAAGCTGGATGTGGTGTGGAGTCTTGGGACTTCCCCCTCTACATAGGAAGCTGGTGTGAGCTCCAATCTTGCTGGGGCACAATGCTGTATAATCAGCACAGGTTGGAGTCAGGGTGGCTGGGGTGGGGGGTCAGGGAAATGGGCAAGGCAGGGGTTGGATGGGTGACCCCAGGATGTCCAGCCCTGCCGGGGGTTGGGGTCCCATGAGGGTCCAGTCCATGGCACCATCACCTTCCTGCCAGGGACCCAGGTGCTACAGGCCAACACAGCTTTGGGACCGGAGACCCCTACGCGTTTTCCTCGCTGCCTAAGCCACCCCCGCCACCCAGCCCCAGAGCCGCAGCCTGGGCAGCATTCACCCTCTAGAGAGGTGCTGGTGGCTGGGCATGACTTCAGCGCCATCTTTAGCCTGTCTGCCAGGGGCACCACAAGGCAGAAAAGGAGGCGAGCAGAGCGGGGAGAGCTGGGGCTGCAGGGCTGGGGCTGTGCAAAAGGTTGAGAGCAGCGGGCTGGAGGAGGTGGGGTCAGGACTCCCAGGCAATGGCAGCAGAGGGGCTGGAAGGCAGTTCCACACACACGCCCCTCCAAAGCAGGAAAACAGTGCCCCAAAGGG